CCACTGAGAAAAGCTACACAGATGGTTTTATAGATTAAAAAAGCTGGCATATCTAAAGCTCAGGATTGTTAAAAAAAGAGACAGATAGAGGGGGAGAGGGTGAGAGAGAGGAGTAACTTACTTCTTCAATCCTTCTGGTCTGATACTTCTGTAGGCCCCATCTGTACTTTGCAAGAATGGGTTTGTGCTTTTGGTTGCACTCCCAGCTTGTTCTTCTTGGTGTTTATAGACTATCCCAGATGTCAAGTTGTTCTCTGCAAAGCAAGTTGATAGCTCCTCACAGCAAGAATTGTTCTGTTCTAGGGCTCTGCTGAGGCATTTTGCATTTATAAAGTGATTTACAGTGCAGAGTAGTCCTGTGAGGAATGACTTTGCTGTTCCTAGGGCAGAGGAGAAGTAGGTCTCTCTCTTGGGCTGCCTGCCTATTAACTGGAACAAGCTCTTAGTTATGTTTGTTCATTCATTCCCTCTTTGCCTAAAATTAAATCACTTATTCTAGTAGTTCCCAAACCAGTCTCTTGTACCACATCAAACAGTGCTTTCTAGGGTGCTTTTCACTGAGCACTTCAGGAAGGAAATGTGTTCTGGGAAATTCTGGTAGTGTTATATTTGAAGAAAAGTTTTGGAAGAACAAACTGACTATCTCTTTCACAGGATTGCTGGTATTACCAGAGATTTCAACACACAGATAAAAATGGGAAGAAATACTCCACAAGCCTCCTAGAATATTTGCCCAAAATTGTAAGATTTCAGCAATTCTGACTTCCAAACAGACTACCTCAACAGAGCCATCTCCTTTCTGCTGAGTAATTTACGTTAAGTGGGTGCTACTTCTGGGCACTGAGTCCATGCCTCCTGGCACTATCTGACAACCCAGCTCTCCTGCTGGGTGCTGCTCCCAAACATCCAGCAGCTTCTCCTAGTGTCTTGCCCACAGTCCCAGACAACAGAAAGGCAATAAAGAGATCCATAATATTTTCTTCTGTGCCAGTCTGCTCCCTACTTTGGCATGTGCTGAAATTTCACTTTTCTGTCTGCAGCATTCATGAAAGTAATAAAACTGCTGCTGACTCTGGAGGTCTCAGGGAGTCACTGCAGGCACAAACTGTCCTTGCAGCATCTTGTATGGAAAAGGGGCTATTCCAGGCAGCTCTTCGTGGCACTCCATTTCATAACCCAAACTTAAGTAATGCTGCGTCTTTGCCAGTGTCTCTGTTTAAATGGTTGAGACTGGCAAGTGTTTGATGCAAAAAATACTTCTGCATGAACAAATGTTATTTTCTTTATGAGGACTAGACTGACATGAGCTTTTGAGAAGTAAACAGAGAGAAATGTATAGACAAGACAAATGGGCGGATGATAAAATTGGTCCTTTACTCTGAACTGTTTCTAACATAATTCAAAATAGCAGCTTTGGAAGATGGCACTTCCTTTTATAGTTCCTTTTCAGAAATAATAAGAGCAGTTTGCTAGAATCTTGGTCTAACTATTTAATCACTACATTACCTTTAAGCTAAGGTTTGCCTCCCATCATTAAGTAATTCACTCAAGGTAACAAGTGAAATAAAGTCAGAGGGATATAGTAGTCTCAAGACGTAAGCCTTATTTTACAATAAAGAACAGTGTGGTTAGTCTTTCTCCAGAGGGTTGGGTTTTTTTTGGTGCTTTCTTGCTTTGCTACAGCTTGCAGAAAACAGAGATTACAATACGCATTTGCTAATCAATATTAAACTAGTAGAGTAAAATGTCAGGGAGGAAAAAAATTGAAATCATACTACATTTCAACACCAACAGAGAAAATCCTAGCATTGTTAAATGGCAGCAATAAAACTAGCAATTGTTATTTAGTTTTAAGTAATGAACCAAATAAAAAATACAGAACTTGCTACATTGCCTTCCAAATGGAGCTTATTACACTGCTGCTTGAATGTTTGCACAATCTTTAATTTAAACATTTTCTCTTCAGGTCTTAATAATAGGCATGGGTAGTTGTAATTTACTTCCTCTTCAAAGGCAAAAAATGAAAGAGGAAAACAAAATGCTTTAACAACTCACATGTGAGCAGAAGTAGCTCATTCAGCCAGAGGAGGCTGGTAGGGCTGAAAGTCAGAGAATTTCACCCCGCGATTTATCTTTCAGCCAGGTAAGGGCACGATTAGCATGTGGGCTCTCCAAAGCTGCTCCCCCAGTGAGAAGGAAGAGCCATTCATCACTATTTACTGGGCCTTTGTTCTGCTGCAAACCCTTGCAGAGAAGAAAAAACAGAGTAATTTTTGTTTCTCAAAAGGATACCAACATGCAACCTCATAGATGCTTCAAGGATTTTTTTTATTATTATATTTTAATATATAAGCAACCAAGGAAATTATTTAGAGGTGAATGTTAATATATTCCACTCCTCGTGGCCCACAGGATTCTCAATTCTCAGTTCAGTTTTTTCATTATGCATCCTTTGTTTCTGGAATTACTGTGATAGTTTACTGGTTTGAAGGATTTTACAGTTGCAGCCATAAATAGAGGCAAATCTTAACCTTGAAACTTGAATGACAAAATAATCCTATTTGAAACAACTCCTCAGTGGCACATGGAGGGGAAAGAAATAAATTAATTCTTTTTTTTTTTTTCCTGTACATGACTACCCCTACCTCAAGCTTCTTTTTAAAATTGATCATCTGATAAAATACCAAATTTTAAAATCCTTGGTTGACTTTTTTATGAAAGAACAGAGGTGGGTTAGGGTATTTATTCCTGGCCTTGGGACTTGTGATTCCATGACCTTTTGTTTCCCCTCTCCTTTTGGGGCACTGGTGCTTGAATGCAGGCAGAAATCTTTCTGAAAAGCTTGGATTCAGATGCTCACCTGCAAGGTAAATAAGGACATTTTCCTCTTGGGCCGTATTTGATTTCTTTAAACATTTTTGTTCTTTGGTTTCTGCTGTGCTCTTGCAGTGAAGCATGGCTTGTTATTCACCCTTCTGCACTGGAGGCAGAACACGAATGGAGGGGCTGCTCCTTTGCAGGGCACACAGCCTCTGTCTGGACTCCTGCCCGCTTGTCTGAGTGGCTGTGATGGTCATGTCAAGTTTGGGAAGTATTATTTTAAGAAGGCTGGAGGAGCAGAGGAACCCCATTTCCAGCCTGGGACTGGACTCCCACCTGGGACTGAATCTAGCTCTTGTCAGTCTTGGGTAGCCAGGAGATCTCAGCCTTTTCCTTCTGTGACTCACAGCATGGCTTTCTGTGATATATGTAAAGCTAGAGTGACATTTAATAGGTCACAACATACAGAAGGACAGATTAGTGAGTATCATACGACATTTAGAGTTAATTTTTATTGTACCTACTACCTTTATCCTTCCTTGTAGGAAACTCTCCTGATCCCATCTGTACTAAAAATAGAATAAAAGAAGAATGTCGTTAACACAGTGAAATAAATCAGGCAGCACAATATAATGCCTTGAAAGAACATGTTCAAATAATGAGGCCCAGACTCGCTGCACCTCAGCAGCCTTTAGAGAAGCTGAGACCTGGCACACCCTTCTGTGGGGCAGCTGAGGACCCCACTGACCTGCACAAACGCGATGGCCCTTGGGCTGAGATCCTGATATACCCCTCCAGGGATTTACATATGCATTGAGGGGTCCTCTGGAGCACGCTGATATCTTTTTTCCAGGTGAGCAGAAACCTTCAGGACAGGACAGATTTCTGTGACAGCTGATATTAAAAACCAGGAGCATGTGACAGTGACATTTGAAAAATGCATCTTGAAATGATGCTTTTGCAAGGGAAGCTGTGCTTAGTAACAATTATTATGGAAAGGAGTCTATTAGAGGTCTAGCACAGCTATATGGTACCTGAGGTAAGATAGCATTGCTGGAATGTTATCAGTACTTGCACCTAAATATTGTTTTTTATCCTCCAGGATCTGTTTTGGATAGTCTCATACAACCACTTTAAAACATATTGACATTATACTTTTTTCCAGATTAATCTAGGAAACAGCTGAAAACACAGTATTAATTTCTGTCTTCCTTATTTGTTGCTCATTCAAACTATTGGTAAACCAGTAATCTGAAAGATTGAAGAGGCTGGCTATAAGAAATTAGGATAGGAAATTGTTTTCCAAACTATGCTGCAGACTTTCTCCTCAATCAAAGTTAGTTAAAGGAAAAAAACAATTAGATATTATTTCAGCCTGAGTGTATACAAGGCCAAGAGGCAGTTATTGCTACCAGCAACAAGACTCCTGGGATCTATCAAATATTGAATGTTGAAGGCAGACCCTTTAAAATCTAGGAGCAATTAAATATCCAGAGTATAATTTGGAAGAGACGAGAAATTTCAATTATGTATTAACATTTAAGGAAGGTTGCCTATAGTTATGAGGGATGGAAATGTTGACGAAACAAAGCTAAATTGGTATGGGAGATCGAGAAAAGTGAATCCTAAATCTAACTGGTTACCTAATGAAATTCAAAGGTATTATGTGACTGTAGATAGAAGAGAGCATTGTAAGAAAACTAAACATCAGGTGTTTACTGTTCCGAGAGATAATCTAACTTAGGGAAAATATACACACACACATGTACTTATAAATAACTACACAAAACACAGGAAGCTTTAATGATAATCTGTCATCAGCACTAAAGGGGAAGACTTGCAGCCACATCAGGTAACCAGGAGTGTGTGGGCCACATCTGGAGGTCCTAAACCAGGCTGCAATCATCATAATTTTCCTAGTAATTCATTGCTGCTTTGTAATCAAGGACTATTGTGTCGTCCAGGCCAAACCCAGGACATAAGCCAAGGAATTTCAAACAGTGTTTTCTACATCTTAGGATCCTTCATCCTTGCTGTAGAGCAGGGGATATTCCTAGGACCTCCGGCCAACCAAGTAGGCACTCAGCTATGCAATCATTTCACAATGATTTCAGGAGATGTTAACACATTCCCCTAAAAGGAAAGTTAATCTTATTATTAACTATGTAAGCAAAAAAAAAAAAAAAGGAGAAAAAAAAAGATATGAGAGTTTCAATATAGCTGATAAAATTTAAGTCTTCTGCCTTTTGGAAAGCGTTTTTGAGTCTGGCTCAGATTAATCATGATCAAAATGCATTTTTGTCCTCAGGATGCAGGAGAATTCTTTTGTCTCAGGCCTTTGCTCAATGACAAAGGTCAGGTCTTTGCATCTACAGATCTGACCTGCGGCTGCAGAAGTGCTCAAACAAGAGAATGAGGAAAGCAAGGAGGAATTATCTGCAGCTAAAAGGCAAGCCTCTCAACACAGGTTAAAGCATTTTTGCTTTCAGCTGCTGCCTCTCATCTCATGTTTTCTGATCTAGCATCTAGCTGACAGTCAGAGTCACCCTGCAAAATGAGGCATAACAAAGCCAGGAGACAGAGGGAAATCGCTTCCCTCTACATTAGTGGCTTATGCTCAGTGCCAACGAGGAGAGGAAGGCATTGGCTTGTTGTCTGAAGGCTTTGTCCCTTGCTAGGTAAAAGAAGAACAGCCTGAAGGTGAGAGCCTTGAGAAAAAGTCTGTTATTTACAGGGGCCACAGAATAGGAAGGGCAATTGCATATTATGAAGGAAAGGACCCCCTGCTTGATCCAGGAGGAAGGCAGAAATGCAATCTTGAATGAAGGCTTTCCTTGGAAGGAAAAAGCAGAAGAGGCTGGTGTTCCTGCTTAGAAGATAAGACCAAAAGGAAAGACAAGACCAAGAAAGAGTTGCTCGGTTAGGGAGGGAAAAATAATCATAGTGGTAGAAATGAAGCAGTATGCACCATGAGAGCAAGCACTAAATGTAGAAGGTGAATGAAAGTCTTTAAGATAGACAGTGAGACTCAGTGCTTGTTACAGCTAATGCCAAACAATATTAATTTACTCCACCAGGTATTAGTGAATATTAATATTATGTCATTAGCAAGCTTTCGGTACCACTGCCAGTATGTTATGCCTTTTCTGGGATGAAATAAAAGAACTCAGTTTCTAGCCCTACTAATTTTATATCTTTTATGAGCAACACATTTCTTTTTAAAAATAAAATACAGCATGTAAAAGTAGTAATTTACAGCTAAAGCAACTATTTTCTGGTGTTCTCATTAAGCCTATTTTATGCACCTGTCTTCTATTCACTCTTTTGAAATTGTAGACCACAAATAAGAGTGAATAATTAGCCATAATTATTGTTTCTTTGTAATATTTTAGGATGTTGAGAAAATTTCTTACGTGAGGATGTCCTTTGTGAGGAAGGAAATATTCATAGTGATGCTGAAGCTTATGACTCGAACCTGCACATCGACAGTAACCTGCAGTGAGGAGGGCAAGAAAGAATTAAAGGGGTGCTAGTCACAGCAGATTTCATCAAGGACAAATCCCAATATGGTTTAATCACTGCTCAGTTTTAAATACTTTTTGTGAAATATTTGCATTTTTATGTCTGTTATAGGCTTCAGTAGTTACTACCTCTTTGATTTCCCAAATTTGCTATAATAGTGTTATGTTTAAATACATCTGTATGTATAATAATCTTTAACATTGCTGATCCTCTATGTAATGAAGTAGACTTTTTGCTGTTGTAAATAGGACTGATGTGTGATTAATAAACTGAGCCAAAGAGTATTGATACATGGAATTGATGTAAACCAGGTTAGAGGAGAAGCTAATTAACATGCTTGAGTGATTTGCAGTCTAATCCTATACAAAACATTAGAAACCAAACTTGTGAGTACTGAAAAAAATAAATCCCAGCTGAAGTATTAAAAGCAATGCTTCCAATTCTGCCACGGTTCGTCCCCTTAACTCCTCTTAATATTACAACAGGTATGATTTTGCAGACTAGATGTAAGCATTAGTATTTATTTTAAAACTGGATTTAATGTGAAATCTGTTTTTCACAAGGATTTTTTAAAAGAAATGAGTGGATTTCTCCATCTATTTGCAAATCTAAACTATTCAATTCAAACAGTAACTGTGACGGTGTGAAAAGCTATTTACAGGTCTGCAGCCATCTCTGGTTTCATCAATTTGTTTTTCAGTCTTTGTTGTTATTTCTTGTTTCTTATGGATCTCCTGGGACAGCTTCTTGCTTGAGGAGAGAATGTCAATAGCTCATTCGTCCTCCAGGATGTTTCCTCGCAACAATGAGCTTACTCCCCAAATTTAATCTAGTTCTTTTGCCTCTTTTCTGTAAAATCAAGGAAAGTAAGAAAAGTTATTTCAGGAAACATGAACATCATCTGAATAAGTCTGCTATGTAATAACAGCCTGGTTTTGCTTGGTTTCTATAAAGGGATATTAAAATAGATTATAACTTCCAAAAATCCATTAGTGAAATTCCAGGCCATTTTAGACATTAAGTTCACAGTACTGTAGATGCTAGGCAAAGTTCATCTGAGAAGGGCATTTTGCTTTGTTTTTGTTTTTAATCCACCAACATATTCATTGAACTTGTAATTAAATCTTGTGTACCTGTAGGTTAATCTGCTGGAATGCTTATTTAAGAACTAGTTTCTATTTATTTTCCTGGGGCCATAAGATATTTCTTAGCCCATGCAATATGAGGATGCACTGTGACGTTTATAGTACTGTATTAAAAACAAAGGTAAGGAAGTATGAGCATGAATGCACAAAAGAATTTTCGTTCTAGATGTGTTCTAGAGAGGAATAAACTTACATTAAGTGGAGAGTTTAATTTTTCTATGATATAATATATGGGAAAGGCATCTGTTCTTTCTCTCTTTACCTGCAATTTATAAGAAAAGATAGTTTCTTTTGTTTGGGGTATGTCTACCAGGGGAAATTAACTATGATAGCTCTTCTGGATTAATTCTCCACACACTTAATATCAAACAGAAAAAGGGCATTCTTATTCCAGAATTAGAGTGTATACATAAGGGAAATAGTCTTGCAAGATTGTTCCACATTCTGTTCATGCCTGAATTTAATCATCATTCATTTCCTTTCAGGCATCCTGGAAAAACCCATTCTTTTTGTTTATAGGAAAAGGGCTTAGAACCACGGAATGGTTTGCGTTGGAAGGGGTTTAGAGATTATTTAGTTCCAACCCCTCCTGCTATGGAGAGGGACACATTCCACCATTAGACCAGGTTGCTCAAAGCACCATCCAAACTGGCCTTGAACACTGCCAGGGATGGGGCAGGCACAGCTTCTTTGGGCAAACCCAACCCCTCAGTAAAGAATTTCTTCCTAACATCTAATCTAAATCTGCCCTCTTTCAGTTTAAAGCCATTCCTCCTTGTCCTGTCACTATATGCCTTTGTAAAAAATCCCTTTCCAGCTTTCTTGTAGGCCCTCTTTAGGCACTGGAAGCTTGCTCAAAGGTTTCCCCAGAGCCTTCTTTTCTCCAGGCTGAAAAGCCCCAAGTCCTTCTGCCTGTCTTCTGCCTGTGCAGGACCTTGCGCTTGGTCTTGTTGAACTTAACGAGATTTGCAATTGCCAATCTCTCGAGCCTCTCAAGGCCCCTCTGGACGACATCCCTTCCCTCCAGAGGGTTGACTGCACCACACAGCTTGGTGTTGTCAGCAAACTTGCTGAAGATGCACTCATTCCCACTGTCTATGCCATTGACAAAGATGTTAAACAGCTCTGGTCCCAGTACAGACAGTTTTCAGGAGGATCCGTTCCACGATCTTGCTGAGCAAAGAGGTGGCACTGACTGGCCTGTAGTTCCCTGGGTCTTTTGTCCCTTTTTAAAAATGGGGGTTATATTTCTGCTTTTCCAGTCAGTGAGAACTTCACCACACTCCCACAACCTCTCAGATATGACCGATAGTGGCATACCCATTTCATCTGTTAGCTCCCTCAGGACCCCTGGATGCATCTCATCAGGTCCCATGGACTTGTACCTCTTCAGGTTCCTTAGAGAGTCTTGAACCTAATCTCCTACAGCAAGCCGTTCTTCATTCTCCCAGTGTCTGCCTCTGCCTTCTGTGACTTCCGAAGTGTGGCTGGAGCACTTACTGTTGAAGACTGTGGCAAAAAAGTTACTGACTACCTCAGCTTTCTCCATATCACAGGTAACAAGGTATCCTGTTTCCTTCCAAGAGGGCCCACATTTTCCCTATTCTTCCTTTTATCACTGATGTACCTATAGAAACTTTTCTTGTTGCCCTTGATGTGCCTGGCTAGACTTAACACTATCATTAGGGCTTTGTCTTTCCTAACCTGATCCCTGGCAGCTTCAACAATTTCTCTGTATTCCTCCAAGGGTACCTGTCTCTACCTCCACCCTCTGTAGTCTTCCTTCTAGTGTCTGACTTTGTCTAGGAGCACCTGTTCACCCACTCAGGCTTCCTGACATTCTTGCCTGAATTCCTCTTTGTCAGGATGCCTTGCTCCTGAAATTTGAGGAGGTGATCCTAGGACATTAACCGGGTTTCCTGTGCCCGTTTTCCCTCCAGGGCTTTATCCCATGGTACGCTACCACACATACCCCTGAAGAGGCCAACATCCACTCTCCTAAAGTCCAGGGTAGCAATCTTGATGTGAACCCTCCTCCATGTCCTATAAGGCTGCACCTATCTGCTTCTAGAGGGCCTCATCCACTGCTTTTCCTGGTTGGGTGGACTGTAGCAGACCCCCACTATAATGTCACCTGTCCCTGCCCTCCCTGTAATCCTGACCCATAAACTCTCGGTTCATCCATCCTCAGGCAGAGGTCCATGCACTCCAGCATAACATAGAGGATAATACCCCCTCCTCATGTCCCCTGCCTGTCCTTCCTGAAGAGCCTATATCCTTCCATTCCAACACTCCAGCCATAGGAGCCATCCCACCACGTCTCAGTGATGGCAGCAAGATCATAGCCCTGCAGGCATGTGCACGCCTCTAGTCCCTCTTGGTTATTCTGTATGCTTCATGCATTTGCATAAATGAAGCTGACTTGGTGGCTGGAGTGGCTTAAATCTCTGTGCTCCTGCTTCAGGTGCTGACCTGCCATCACCTTCCAGGTTCTGGGCATCTCTTGCTGGCACTGCTATCAAACCAGTAGGAGTAGGATTGAGGTTTCCCTCACCCATCAACTTTAGTTTAAAGCCTCCTTCACCAGCTTTTTAGTAGTTTCTCTGAAACGGGGTCTGAACAGTGAGAAAAGGAATATTACCTGTCTATTTATTTAAACTTTCCTTGTATTTGCTACTACAGTTCCTATCTGGTTATACTTCTGGAGTTATTTGGCATCAGGATGCTTGGAGCTGCATACAAAAGACATGAGGTCTGCTGCAAACCCACAAAAAAAAAAAAAAAAAGAAAAAGAAAAAGTAAGTAAAAATTGTTCCCTGCAACAGATATATAATAAAAAATATTAAAATCATAGCTGAAGTTTGATGTGATAGTAATGCAGAGCAGCTGAAAGTGTGACTTCCCTGTCCACATCTGTCCATATCTGTAAAATCTGTGTAATTGCTGAAGCTTTTATCTTCTAGACTCTGACAGACTCTTTCTCTCTGTGTTAACATAAATGACTACCTGGAAGGGGCACCAGATTCTGATATTAGTTACATGATTATTGTCTAGCAGTTTATAGCTAAACCCAACTTTCCCTTCCCCTTTTCTTGCAAACAAAAAGCCTCTAAAAACCTATGGGAAATCAGGTGAGAAACTATATTAAAGAAAATCAGTTCATATATATACAGACTAACAACCTTTTGACCTTTCTTGCCAGAATACACACGGTAAGGGTAATTGCCAGCTCTGTTATTTGTTCTCATTCTATTAAGTCTGTTTTTACAATAGGTGTTAGAGATAAGTACTCTGATGGCTATTTTTCCAGATGTCTGGTTTAAATGTACCATAAAACATACTAGATGATGCATCCATTAACACCATATAGTGCCGAGAATACCAGATTAACTTTAACCACTTTGTTGAACGGGAAGATGTTTCTAAATTGTGTTTGTTTGGATTATTCATAGCAAATGGAAAAAATTAAAATTGAAATAATTAAAGTAAGATTTCCTTCTATACCAGTTTATTTTTTTTTCTTTATTTTCTTTTTTTTTTTCTTTTTATTTTTTTTTTTTTTTTATTTCCAGGGAGCTTTCAGAGTTAGAATTATCAGGTTTGGTATTTCTGGTGCTATGCAATGGAGTGAATATGTTCGTGGTTCCAGAGTTGGAAAGAAGCATAGATTTTCTGCCTCTCTGCCCTCCCTACTCCCTCATTATGCACAGATACTCTCTGTCCTTGCACGTTGAGCTATTGTATACACAAGGTAAATGCTCAGAGCCATGATGGGTGCATACAGTTGTTAAAAAGACAAGAGTTTTTCTGTGTTTTCAGGATTGCTGCTCCAAATTTTCACTTTTGAAAGTCTCATGTATCCCAAAAATAACTGTTGGACCTACACTGTGGAGAAACAACTCAGACTTTTAGTCACTGAAAAGACTCAGTAGTCTTTAATTCTAAGAACCCATGATGCCTTTTACGAAGCACACTTTTATATGTTCTTGCAAACATTGTCTGTCCTTTTCTGCTCTCCCCAAATATCACTGAATGCTTCATACTTTCTGTATGCATTGCTTTATTGCCATTACCATCATCTTGGTTATGCCTTTCAGCTTTGGTGTTCTGCTCTGCCTTTTTCTATAACTCCTAAACAATAGTCTCCAGCTATTTATTCCATTCCTTTTTTTTTCTTTTTACCCCTTTCTTGTATTTCTCCTTTCTATCTTTCCACCAAGTATTTTGCAACAACAACAGTATCTGATTAGTCCCTGTGATTTCCTTTCCTAGTAACTTGTATAGAGAAAACATACTTTGACAGATACTTCAGGCAGATAATGAGGATTTTGGAGATGGCTGGTCATGTGGTGCTTGAAATCCCTGCTGTAACGAATAACAGCCTTTCTCCAACTGGATGCGTTCCATTTCACTTTGTTTAACTGTCTGGCTCAGCTTTGCAGACTATAGAGTAGGACTGAGTTCCTTTGAAAGCTTTTCAATTAGCACTGTGCTCCCAAACCAGCAAAGCAAAAATGTATCAGAAGGGAGGTGAGGGGAGCAAACAATTAATTTTATTTCAAAAGCCTTAAAACACTTTGGTTGCTTAGCATAGCAAGAAACATCATTTGAATGGAGCCTAATGAACTAATTTTGACAATCCTGTGCTTGTCAAGCATTGTTTTTTTTCCCCCCTTTAAATCGATACAACACATTGCTTTTATTTCTAAGCAGTGAGCAGAAATAAGTGAAACATTTTAATTGAAAACTGAGCTCGTATATTCAGCATGTGGGAAAAAAAACTAAACCAAGGAGCAGAAAATGTTTCTTCTGCATCAGCAGATGATGAAAAGTTTTGTCCTCTTCTGTGAGAACATGACTTGATTTTCGTTCCTTGGTGTCAGTGCTTTACATCCACTTACAATCCTCCAGAAATTATTTTTTTCTCAACTTTGGATGATTACCTTCTTTTTAAACCTCAGGGCATGGGATGGCAGCACAACACTGGCCACACAGGAGGCTGGCCCCTGGATTTAAACTACTCAATGAAGTGGGAGCTCCCGGCATAAGAAGGGTAATTACATCGATCGAAACACAGCCCTGTGAGACTGGATGACTGAAAGCTGCCTATCTTTAGGCTTTAGGAGATGGCCTTGTGCAGTGTCCTGTCAGGTGGGAGTGGATGTTGCTTTACTGAAAGGATTGACTCCAAGAGATTAATATC